CATAGAACTAGATCTAGAGATAAGTAGAATGGCTGTATTCCTAGTGAGTCATAACTCATTATCTATACTGATATCAAAAGGATGCCAAAGGGTTTTATGCAATGAATTAATTTTCTCTTTGCGCTCACCAAGCAGACATAATCCAGTTCTCTTTTCCAAAGCTGAAAAACAGGAACGTGTCTATCAAAGGCGAGACTCTGATTTGTGGAAGGTGCCTGATGGCCTTGACTCTCAGTAAATTGACCTTGATAGCAGGTACATCATCTGAGCAGTGACATTCAGGATATGCCAGGAACCCAGCAAAATAACTGGGTCACATACAATTTCATTCAAGGTGTTAATAAACTGTTTCAGCCAAAAGTTGTCTTGTTTTATTTTACCCACTTCTTTATTTCTTGCTTCCTGGTTTGGGTCCTTTTAAAAACATTGGTTTTCCTCTTTTTTTTTTAAACACCTCAGATCCTCTTTTGGAAAGTAATGGTATATAAACAAGCAATAATTTTAAGATGAAAATAAAAATTAACAGGGCATGAAAACCATATGCTAACTTTAAAAAAAAAGAAACATGGCAAATTCATTGTATATGATTTACAATAATTGCTTTCCAATTTCCAATATTGTCCAATGAAAAATTACACAAATCCCCCAATTTAAGAAGCCTACCACAATAGATTTCCTACTATTTAGGTATATATCATGCATAAATAAGTTGTGCTTTATAATGTAATATCTATAAAACCATATATGTTGTTAGGCAATTATAGTTATGTTTCCTCCAAGACCATGACCCATAATACATGCCAAGATCCAGTCTAATTCAGCATTCGAGTATTTCAGGAGTGGTACTTGAGAAAAATATTACACATATTTTTATATAGGATGACATTTTTAATGCCCCCTGGAGATATCTGAGAACAAAGCTGGAATGTGCCAAAATCTTCAAAGGTTACAGTCCTCTGAAGAGAAGCTGGTTCACATTTGTATTTCTAAGAAGCTACTTTTATGACTCTTGAACACATTGCACAGAAATCTCTGAACACGTTTGTGATATTCCTGTGGCTTTGACTATCACACCTGCCATACCTTGGGGCCTTCAAATTGCTACGAAGAAAGCCAGGCCCACTCACTGGCTGGATGAGAATTATGAAGAGATCCTAGAAATCTTTCACACTCCTCCAGGCCCCTGATTTCCTTAGAATCTCCTGGTTCGTTAGGTTGCTACACTGCAAGGAAGGCTCCACTCAAATTGTTTCTGCTTCATAATGCAGAACTGTTTTATTTGCATATTTTCCCTGTTTATTTTAGAAGTAAGGATGTTATCACTGACTGCCTTTTGTGTGTGTGTGTGTGTGTCTCCCGGGGTGGGGGGTGGGGTATGCAGGCAGGATTGTTCGGGTAAATGGCTCCGAGCTGCTCTGACTGCCCTCGGTCCTTCCTGAGGGGGGCAGGAATGGCTGCCCCATAACTCATCTTGGAAGACCCCCCTGAGCAGCTGAAGAGCTGTGAACGGTGCTTAAGTTCCCTTTCCTTTTTATTTTCAGTGAACAGCACTGTGCTTTACAACTCCCCTTCCTGAGCCTTCCAAGCAGGACTACAACCACCCACTGCGGAGGGAGGTAGGAGGGATCATGTTCTTCCTCCTCGAAGCAGAAAACAAAACACTATTTGAGGTGCATCTATGTAAAAAAATTAAGTGATGCTCAAATCTAAATTTCTGTGTACTCAAAGTGAAATCCAAGCTCAACTGAATGCCAGGTACTGACAACCCTGGTTTTCAATACTCCTGAAGAACCCAGTCTCCTTAGCAGCACCTGACAAAGGGCCACTGGGTCTGTTGGCAAGTTTGCGCCCCTGGCAAAGTATAGAAGAGGCAGGCACCTCACAGGCTCTTCATCATCTGCTCATTTCCTCTCTGAGTAGCTCCAGTCCTGGAGATGGGAAACTTTAGGGAAGGAATTAATCAAAAGACTGCTAGCATATACACGTCAACGTCAAGCTCCCTGAAAACGGCATGCTGTCTCTGGCCTCCAGGCCTCTGTACCACTTGCTTCCTCTGCCTGGAATTCCTTTTCTCTCACTCTTTAGCCTTCCAAGACCCTCCAAATACAGGTTGAAGGCCCCCGTTTGTCCTCCCCAAACACCCTGACCCTCCTCACAACTCAGCACTCATCGCATTATATTGTAATTTATCGGAACCCTAACCTCTAAACTCCCACGGGGCAGGGACCAAGCTTCTCTTGTTTGTATCACCAGCTACTGAAGTATTTAGCACACAACAGCCACTTGAGAAGTACTGATTGGATAAATGGATGGACAGATGTGTGCGTGAATGACTGAATGAAAGACAACATCCTAACTAGGGCAGTCTCACCCTATTTATTTGGTCTTCGAAAAAACATAATTTAGTTGCCAGTCTACTCTGAAAACAGTTCTATTCTGAGTAGAGCTAGCATATAACTAAGCCCATACTCTGAGGGTCTGGATGGAGATTCGAACATGGAGGGTGAGGGAAACGCCAAAGAAGATGACGGATTTTACCAGACAGAAGGTGGAAGGAGGATGGTCCTGGGGTGGCACAGTGAGAAAGTGCTTTGGAAAATGAGAGTCTTTGAAGGCTTTAGTGTGAGGCAGTGGCCTCTTTGCCGCAGTACTTTGAGGAAGCACAAGCTTTAGAAAAACGAGCCCAGTAGGCAGTGTGTAAGTGGATAGACGGGACTCTGGAGGCAGGTAAGCAGCTTGAGAGTCGCTTGAGAGTCACTGCAGAGGTCCCCGAGAGGTGGGACGGCCTGGACCAGATGGCAGTAGTGGGGTGGGGAGAAATGGGCCAGTCAGGATTGACATGTGAGCATCTGGACTTGGGAGCTATGCTGCGGAATGCCAGCTGCCTCCCCCAAATCTATTCCCCCCTCCCAACCTAGGCACATGCTATGCTACATTTTCCAGCCTTACATGAGGCCATGTGACAAGTCCTGGCTGATGGAGTATAAGTGGAAGAGACATGTGCCACCTCCAGGCCAGGGCTTTTAAGAGAGTGGGTTTTCCTCCTCCGAACCCACTTTCCCTTTCTGTCACCTGGTTGCAGACTTGACAAGGCCCTAAGGCAGTGGTCCTCAGACTAGTGAGGTCAGAATCACCTGGAGGCTTGCTGAGCAAATCGCAGGCCTCCCTCCCCCAGAGGTTCTGATTCAGTAGGTCTGCAAAGGGACCTGATAATGAGCATTTCTAAAGTTCCCAAGAGACACTGATATTGCTGGTCCATGGGCCACACTTTGAGAAACACTGCCCTGGGGGAATGGTGGAGCCTAATATTGAAGGAACACAAATGGTTGCCTTACAGACAGCGTCCTCTCTGACCTAAACACCCTACCAGGACTGTTTGCAAGCATGAAATCGATTTCTATTGTGGTAACTCCATCCCTGTTTGGATCTCTTTGTTACAGTAGCTTAGCATATCCTAACTAATAATATAGGAATTGAGGAAAAGATTTGAAGCTGACTCCCAGATTTGGTGCTTGGGTAATTGGGAGAGGAACAGAGCAGGTTTGGATGGGAAAGATAATGAATTAATGATCACAGTCATGCCAAGTGGAGCCCCCCACTCCCCAAGGCCTGGTCGGTTCCCCTGCTCCCACCCAGGGCCCATCTAGCAGAAGTGTGTCTCTGCCTGTGGTTCCTGGGTGCCCGCTCCTCTCCTGGTAGCTGAGTCCTTCCTATCTTTTAAGGCAGCCTTTGATTCCCGCCTCTCTCCTGAAGGTTTCCCTCCTGCCTGCAAGAGTTCAGATGGGACGGAAAGTGACAGCTTCTCCCTCTGAACCTGTCACACTCTGGGCTGTGGCTCTCATGTTAGCAGCATTAATAACAGGAGCCCCTTCTATCTGGAGAGCACTTCACTGCTAACAAAGCCCTTGGGCCTTTCTTACCTATCCGATCCTCCCAGCAACCAGATGAGATAACCTGGAGGTAATACAGTCTCTACTTATTACTGTATATTGGCTAACACTTATTGAATGTTCCACATACAGTATATCATTTCTATAAGTCTTGTGAGCAAGGACATTTGTTGAATTGAGTGAATGGATTCATTTATGTCTTCTACTGACCGTGGTACCCAGGACAAGGAATGTAACCTTTTACACCCTTTAGTTTTCCTCCATGAAATGGAATATGTACCTTGCAGTGTTATTGTGAATATCGAGCGAGACAATTATGCAAAGGTCCTTTGTATGTCATAAAAGTAACATTTGGACATTAGCAAGCAGCTATTATTATCCTAGTCACATCAGTTTTCCATTTCCAAGCCTTGTCTTGGCATTCAAGCTCCTCCAGCTTTATACAGCTCCTTCGCAGGCCTCCTCCATCCCCGTCGAAGGTTCCCCCTCCCTGAAAAGGCCCTACGCTTCCCCGCCCGCGTGCATGCGTGTGTTCAGACTGTCCTCTGCCCAGAAGGCCCTTCCGCTATATCTTTGTCAGTTAAAATCAAGTTCCACCTCACTTCCCCTCCTTTGTGAGGTCTTCCTTGATACCTCCGGCCAGATGGACTCTCCTTCCTTGGGGCCCCCACAGCATTAGTTTATATCTCACTTACTGCCTCTGTCTTGATTATGGTTGTCATGGCTTAGCGTGTGGCTTCCTGTCTGGGTCATGGAGGGCTCCCTTTCTTGTTTTCAAGAATGGCTGTGTATTAATTTATGTTTTATATCATTTTAATCATTTCAGTGGCTTAGTTTTTATTGGGGGAGGGTGGACATTTTATTATGTACTTAATCTGCCAACTTGAAAACAGAAGCATAAAGAATATATATATATATATATATATGTATGTATGTATATATATATATGCAAATAAATGAATAACTGCAAATCATCCATAAATCCAGGAAGATACTCAGGTTTTGGAGTTGTTTGTGGGGGTGAGGTTGGAGGGAAGACTGTTTTTCCAGAATGCTCCTATTTAAACATAAACTCCCCACACTCAAAGCCTATGAGGGACTTTTCGTTACCTGTAGTGCTGAGTCCAGTATACTCAGGGGATGGGTTGCTGACAGGGGAGGAGGGAGGTGGCACTTCCACGGATGTGGCCGATTTTGCTGGAGAAAACGATGGCACTGGTGAAGGGGTTGGCGGGGTGGCATCCGTCAAGATAATCTCTTCTCGGACTTCTGCTATGAGTAGAGAAAGGGTGGTTAGAGCCAAAAGGGTGGGAGAGCCAAAAGTCAGGGCCACTGATCCTTAAGGGACTTTACAAAAATGAAATAGTCTTTCTGATCTGTGTCATGTCATTCCTCTGCTTAAAACTCTTCAATGGTTTCGCATCATCGTGATGGTCTTCTGCAAGGCAATTCCCATACCCACACGTGCGCACTCTGAAGAAGAAGAGGACATGATTGGTCTCACACCACTTGCCCTGCTCACCATAACTAAATTCTTTGGGCTACAGAGCTAAAGAAATACAGAGCACAGACGTAAGGATACAAGTCAAGCTGCCAGGTAGTATGATTCCCGGGGACGTGCTGGCTTACCAGTGTTTCCTTCGCCCTTCATGGCTCGCATGAGCTCATTGGCCCGTTCCTGACAGTGGAGGGATTCTAACAGGTAGAGAACGTAGTCATCAAACATCAAGTGAATTAGGTGAAAAGACCCTGGTGAGAGAAGAACCAAACAGAAGGGTAAGACACGTCAACTTACGTCCCCCTGGTCAGCAGCGCATATTATGCTGTGCTCCAGTGATCTGCTCAAGGCTCTCGTTCTCCATTCAGCTATGACCTCCCCGTGGTCAGAGGTGGCTCTTCTTCGCTGTATCCTCAGCCTACCTAGTGCTTAGCATAAGGGAAGTGTGGTTAACACTTGGTGACAAGCGAATCCTTTCCTTGCTCAGCCTAGTGATATGACACCATCAGGAATGGCACCTACGGAGCCATGTGTCCAAATGCTTCTGAGCTCCGACATATGCACTGGCCTTTTCCTCGGCCGAGCACCTCCCACTTGGTTCAGCATTTATTGACATAGCGTCTTTCGGTTTTATTTCTTCCACAAACATCTCTTAGTTCCCCGATCAGGCTTTAAGGACGCCCATGGCAGGGACACTGCCTTTTAGCTCATTGGTATCTACCAGTGACCTGACATAATTCTAGGAGCAGAACAGAAGTTTTGAATTTGCAACAACTGGATTATTTCCTCACATGTTCTTGAGACCTCCATTTAGAAAAAGCATTAAATTGAAACGGCTTAGTAGCTTCAAATAGTACTCTTCATTTTCAATTTACAGTAGGTTATTTCATAAAAAGGGATGTAAACAATTATTTTAAAAGATTTTCCAATATGCAAGTTTCTGTGCTCAAAGTTGTATATTATCTAACTTAATCTCTATAACCACACTGTAAGGTAGGTACTTTTATTCCAATTTTGTAAGTTAAGTGCTTGTGCAAGATGACAATATTAATAGATAACACATTATTTCAAAACCTTTGTTTCTAACATGTCATGCTGCCACCACGGACAGTGGAATGACCCACGTATGGTAGGAACTCAGTTAATGTCTGCTGTAATCAAGGCTTCGTGAATGCCAGAGGCAGAGGGACCGAGCCTTCATCTCCAGCCTCATGTTTCCAACTCCCAAACAGATATCTCTATGGAGATATCCTGCTCCCAAGAAATGTCCCAAACTCACCCGCATCCCTACAAGCTGACTTCCTCTTCCTATTTCCATTGAGGGGGAGCAGAATATGCCACCCCCCAATATGCCTTTTTTGGGATATTGATGGTTTTAAGCTGGTTATTTTTAAGAAACAAAAGACTCAGGAAGAATGTTTGGCCTTCCCACAACTGCCTAAAAGAATTTAGATAGAGGACCTGCTCCTGGACGGGGGATATCATCATAGATAACTACAGTTTAATAGGAACTAGCATGTGATTGACAGGGAGGAAGCCAGCAAGGCCCGGTTTGATCCAAGTCCTCTGGGTGTCCCACTGTTAAAGATGGCAACATTTGTTTACCAAACATTTGCTTTTCCGTCTCCATGGGAATTGCCTTCCTGCCCTTTGAAGTCCCAAACCACACCCCCTTTTCTCCTCAGCTTAGATGGCGGATAAGCCTCAACTGACTGATGTGTCTTTGGGTCTCATATTCTTACGGAACCCCGTATGTATGTACATAATTAAATTTGGTTATTTTCTCCCGTTAATCTGTCTCATGTCAATTTGATTATTAGACTAGGCAGAAGGACAAAGAGGGAAAAAAGAGGAAATCTCCTCCTCCTCCAGGCCCTCTAGTTTGCTTATTTAAAGGCCTATTTTCCTTGTGATTCCTGTCATCATCATCACCACCATTAGCACTGTTGTCATCATCATCATCATCATCATCACACTATTTATTGAGTGCTTCCTATGTGCCAAGATCCCTGCTACATACTTAACACAGATCTCATCCTTAAAACGAACCGTGAGCTTGGTGGTGTTATCCTGTCTTACAGATGAGTAAATGAGTCTCTCCATCAGTAATTGAGAAGGGATTTGCCTCAGTTTGGTCTGGCTTCAAAATCTATTCCCACTTCCCTACAGATCACCCAGTCCAATCTCCTCATAGCACACGTGGGAAATAAGACCAGATGGCATGAAGGACTTGGTCCCTAGCAAGGCCATTTGAGTTGTGAGCTGTGCCCTTTCAAGTCTTAGAAATAGGTGAATAGGGGCCAGTTGGAGGCTTCTGGGTGACTCCTTCTTGGTGGAATTTATCCATTTTCTCCTTCATTGCAGCTGGCTTCTGCACACACATACACACACCCATCATCTTAGATTAATTCTTTTGGCATAGGACAATCTTTGGCCTAACTCTGAGGCCACTGGATGCCCAGCAGGTTATGCACATACCTCCTCTCTATGGAGCGCGCCACAGCCTCCGATCCTTGTGCCCACAGGGCTCAAGGCCAAAATCCCCCACCCTGCACTTTCTCCACATTCTTCCTCCATCCCTAGGGGGGTGTCTGTTTTTCAACTCCGTTTGGATTTCAGCAAGGCTCAGGTTTTGCTGAGTCACTGTGAGATGCAGTCTCCAAAACTAAGCTTTCCATCTACTTCTCCAAAATAGGACCTGTGAACCACTGAGGAGGTATAGCTCTGTGGGTAACTGCATGGGTGCTGGATCAAACTGCCCAAGTTGAGAGCCAGCTCTGCCACTTAGTACCTGGGATCATAGATGAGTTACTCTTTGTAAATATTAAAAACAAATGAAGCTGTTTATTGAGCCTTTGCTCTGTGGCAGCCACTATGTTTAACCACTGTAGATGTATTGTTGCATTTAATCCTCATCATAACTGTATGAGTGATATTCCCCCTTTTGCAAAGAAGGAAATTGAAGATTAGAGTAGTAAAGTAACCGTCCAATGTCACACAAGTAGCAGAACTGGGACTTGAACCCATGACTTTGCCCTTTAATCATTCTGCAATACAGCTCTCTAAAAGTAGGACAGCGAGACCTATGTCACAGAAATACCATAATGAGGAAAAGTACTCATTAGGTGCTTACTAAGTGGTAACTATTGTTATTATCTCTAAAGTCCCTTAGAGTCCCCTTAGAACTCATGTTCTCAGATCCTGTGATATGACTCTGTTCATAGAGTGAAAGGAGCCAAAAGACAGCATCAAATGCTTAACAGGAAAGTGGTCTCCAGAATGCAGACACATTTGCTAAGATGTTGCTCTAAGTCAACAGGGATAGAAAGAAACATACGATGAAGCAATGAATTAGAATGGAAAACCCTCGATGGAAAAATGGGTTTAGATTAGTGGTTTTGGTACAGGCAGGCACCTTAGAAACCACCTACACAACCCTCCTGTTTTATAGACAAGGAAGCAAAGGCCTGATGAGGTGAAGACATTTGCCTAAGACCACACTGTTGGAAAGCATCGGGCTGGGCTCGGAGACCAGCATCTCATGGGAAGTGTTCGTTTGAGGCTCCAAGCTCTCTTCCTTAATGGCACTGATTGATTATCCAATTGGTCTGATCATTTTCAATCATCTTTCAAACGACAGGAGTTTGCAAAGCTATTGCTACCTGCCTACTGTTGTGCTAAGTGCTCTGAGTAGAAAGGACGCTTCAAGCTCAGTCCCTGACTCCGCAAAAGCTATAGCGTCCTTAGTAAGCAGAAATCAATCACTAAGATTACTGAGCAACCAACAGTTCAGTGTCAGGGTGTCAAGGCCCTGGGAGCAGGGCAAACAGGAGGAGG